TTCTATGCCTCCTATTACCTGTCCAGGTTCCATCTTCCTTTTACCCAGCTCTAATTGGCTTTTTGCTTGCCAACTTTGTACCTGCCGTGCTATCGTTTTCCACCAATGCCTTCCCTTATTTTTTTGGCCTAGTCTTTATTTCATTGGAACCTCGATGCTACGTGATACTTTTGTTTCCATGTGTGGCATTGTGCCCACAAATCTAATATGTATATTCTATTACAACATACAAGATTATATGATCAAAATTGTTTATGTGGATGCTTAGGTAGATAATCTTTTTTAATGACACATAAGTATAATATTTATATTATTTTATTTATCAAATAATATTTTTTAATAAATTATTTAAATTAAATATTTTGGATAATTATTTAAATTGAAATCAATATCTATCTATGATTAAAATTTTTGTAGAAGATTTGAATTCAAATATATTAAATCATAATTTATCTTTTCTTTTTAAATTTAATAACAGTTTTAAACATATATACTTAATAAAATTTTATTTTCTATCAACTAATTCTATTTATAAATTATTTAAATTTAATATTTTTAGATAATTATTTAAATTCAAATCAAATTCTATTAAAAATTGAAAATTATTTAATAGATTATTTAAATTTAATACTTTTAGATAAGTTAATGAATTATTAACTAAAAAGTATTTATTTTTAAAGTAATAAAAGCTTATATCTTTATATGAAAATATGAGACATTTAAATGTTGTTAAAAAAATTAGATAAAAATATGTTTTTGCTTTGAAAACAAGTATGATGTTTTATTTATATTCTAATTCAAATATTTTTATATTATATATTTAATTAATTAATTTGTTTTTCTTTAGTCCATAACTTTTTTTAATTTTGCTTAGATTGATTATAATTAACTTTTTATATTATATATATATTTTTTATTCATTTCTTCAATGTTGTTATTCTCTGTTAATTTATTAACATATCTGTTTTTATTATTATATATATTTAATCTTGACAAATTAATATGTAAATTTATATTTTTTATTTTCTTATGCTATACTTTTTATTATTAAATTTTTTTATCTACAACGAATGATATGAGAATAATGATGATCACTATCATATCTAACTTACAAAAAATACTATCAATTATATTAAAAATGATTAAAAATAAAAAAATTATTTCAAAAAAAAGTTTTTAAGCATAAAATAAATAATTATTATTTCTCTTTTATCTAAAAAATAACTTTATTTTATTGACATATATAGAAATAATTGTTAACCCAATATATTTGTGTAATAATTACTTGAAGTATGTCAAAAATAATAACTAATAAAAAATTAATAATTACAACAAAATTAATAATTGTGATTTATTGTTCAATTAAATATATATATATACCACCTAATCAACATTATGATAAAAATAATTATTAATTTCATCTATTTAAATATTAATTCTTGATTTTTTATCAAACAAGAAAAAAATGGTAGTAAAATTTTTAGTATTTAGTAAATAAATTGAAGAAAATATTTTTTAATGAAAAAATTTATAATTCTTAAAAATTTACAAAAGTTTAGATTTTTTTCAGATGAATAATATCATTTATAATATGTATTTTATAAATTATCATTTAATTGTAACTTAACATTTATAAATATATGATTATATATTAGATAAATATTAAAAAATAAATTTAAAATTATGAAAAATTTAATAAAAATTTCGTACATTGTACGGATTAAAAAATTAGTTGTTTTGCCTCTAAATTTCTTTTTTCCACCTCATTTTCTTTACCATGTGGCATTGTCCCACTGTATTGGTTGGTTTATTGTTAAGCTTTCCAATTCTAGCTCTCACGTGAGCCGTGTTCAGTGGAGTCTCCATATTGTCTTTCAATTTAATAGATTCCCCTGCATTATTTTCTCCATCATTCCCTCCTTGGTCAACGTCCTTAAAAGAATGATTTTTTGTTCCTTCCATTTCGCCTTTATCCCTGTTACCTCGCCATGAATCGCTGTTATTCCCTGAAATCTCTCCATTTTCCATATGCAGCTTCTTCCTTGTTTCCCTACTGCGTGCTAACCCTGGCGTTGATCTGCTACCACTTATTTTCCCATTGTACCCTGAACTTCGGCACTGCTCAGCATCTCGTTGTACTGCTGTGTTATACTTGGTGGAGGTTCGCCATAGACCTATGGGTTTGATTTTCAGAGGTGATGAGTGCAACCAGTCTCCATACTGCCTTTGTAGATTATCCGTCTGGCTAATCCCATCCACTATAAATTCTACTTCTGAATGCCCTAGGCGTCCACAAGTATAGCGAAAGAGAGGAAGCCGCTCATATCTTAGTGTACCTTGAACTGTGGTTCGTCCATCTGCTCCCCTTACTGAAACAAACTACCTAAGAGGTTTTGTTATGTCTACACTAACTCTACTCCTCGAGTGGCATGCTCTTTCTTTATTGTTTGTATCATTGTCAACCATTTGCAGATCTCCTAACGTTCTTCCTATGCTTTTTGCCACCTTCTGATTCAGCATATTTAAGGCCAGCCCATACTTTTTAATCTAGAAGCTTGCCCTTGTAAAGACATAGTTTGCTGTCCTTTAATTCCCATCATATTCACAAAAAAAGCACCAAATTCTTGTTGAAAGTCAATGGTGAACCGTCTAAAACTCTCTTTTTATCCTTTTTGTGGCGAACTTTAGCAAGAAAAGATTTGTATCTAAGACCAAGAACTCTACTCCTTTGTTAATTTCCACACCACCTTGAGAGTTCCTATCAGTGCATCTTTATTGAAGGTTCTGTTTGTTAGGACTATTGCCATCATCCATTTTCCTTTACTTTCATTACAGTTCCCTTCATGGTTCTCCATTATTACTCGTTCTTCCTCCTCCTCCTTTAACACTAGATTCTTCCATATTCTTTCTATACCTCTCTCCTTGCTCATTTTGTTTCCTTCTCGTTTAGACTAAAAAACCATTAGGAGTCACTCCAGACCACCTTGAAACCCTACTTTCGACCGTCACTGCTACTAAAAGAAACTAACCAATCCTCAAAGATCAAAGGAATGAAGAGATCCCGAGGAATAAGCCCTTATAAAAGACAAGACTAGAAAACCTAAACCTACAGAACATGTTCAGAGAACACGTACAGAGGAGACTATTTTTTTAGCTTGATTTGTAGTTTCTAAAAAAAACTGAATTTACTAGCTTTACTAAATTAATTATAAGGTTTTTGAAAATTTTGAAGGAATTAGAACTGGAATTTCAGAAATTGCATGTACCTTGCATAAAAGTAACTTATACCAATTTTCTTTTTCATCTTTTGTTATGATATCTTTTAGAATTAAATTCTCAGTTGCACTCTAATTAAGCAGCTTAGGAAAGTAAATAATAAACCAATGTTGCGGCATGGAGGATTATCATCACAAGTGCCTCTTCTGCAGCCTCAGTGACCTTTCCTACCAACACAAGGAAAACTAGTTCTTATCATTTCTTAGATGCATTTGCACAGAAATCTAACAATGACCCCAACTTTTCATTACAGCAAAATGTAGGGTAGGAAACAAGTTCAAATCACCCAATATTAGTAATGAAATATGGTAACTAATAGAATAGCCAAGCATGGAAGGGTGTAAATATGTTCAAAGGTCAGGTTACCTATCCAAACCCGATGACTCACCCAAGTTTTGAAAAGGATTGGACAAAAAATTAAAATCCATTAAAGGAGCTTGTACATAATTTTTAGACTCATTTAAATTTTGGATCGAATTTCGAATAAAAAGTTTAAAATCTAAATTCGACTCAATTCAGTTCGAATTCACATATATATAAATTTTTATTTATATATATATAAATATATATATGTGAATTATATATAAATTAATTCACGTCTATATAAAATTAAAAATAAAAATTATATATTTATTAAACTTAAAAATTAAAAATAAAAATTATAGCTTTTTTATTAAACTTAATTTTTATTTTTAATTTTTTAGTTTAATAAAATATATATAATTTTTATTTTTAATTTATATATATGTATAAATTAAATATAATTTCATTAAATTTAATTTAATCACAATTTTTTTAATTGTTTATTATATAAATTAAGTTTAATGAATGAGTTTAATATTTATTTTTTTAATTTGGACTAAGCTTTAAAAAATTTTAAAATTTAAAATTTTGAATCGGATCAAACTTGAACAAACATATAAAATATTAATATCAAATAAGAGTCTAACATGAACTCAACCTATGAACGCCTCTAGAAGGGTGTTAAGAGTAACGTAAAGAGGTGTTAGAGTTACGGTATTTTTGCTGATATTTTGGAAAAATGCATTTTGTGATGTTTTTCGTAAGTTTTCTTAAGCTTCAGAAAATCTTGTGAAAGATTGTGATGATCCTTAATGTTAGGCAGACGAAAAGGGTAACTTGATGTTACAGTTAAAGTAAGCGAACTTATATTGTATTATATATATATATATATATATATATATATATATTGAAATGAAACTATGAAAGTGTCCGATGCTTTTGCTGGTGTTTTTAGAGTTCCCTGAATAGCTTCTTCATTTTTTCTTCGGTCTTCTTAGTTTATGCCTTCAATTTGCAGTTTTATTTTTTAATTTATTACTATTATTATTATTATCAAAACCAGATCGGAAGAAGCGAAGAACATTTCTATTTAATAACTCATTGTCGAAAACATAATTAAGAGTAAATTTAGTAATTTAAAATATTATAAAAAAAGACATTAAAATAATACGATTTAAAATTTTAATTAAAATATGAGTTTAATAAAAATAAAAAATATATATTTTGTACATTTTATATCGATATAAATTATGACATAATTTTCATATAAAATATGATATTAATACACGAATTATTAGTATTATATCCTACATAAATACATCAGTTTAATTAAGAGGAGAGATGATGGCAACCTTACGTACCAACTCTAAAATACATCTGTAGGCACACCCTCAACGAACGTTGATCAATAGATCAAGATGTTTATCAATAAAATTAATTTGCAGATTTCATCGAGCATAGACAGATCAGTAGGGTACCAAATTCTAGTGAAAGGAATCAACCCAACAAACAAAATCACCATTCACCATCATCGGTCATCAATGATCCCTGCAAGGAACTTGCACGGTTCCACCAAAGAGCTACAAAATCGAAGTGTTTTAGATCTCAACATAATGAAGTTTGGTAATATTACTGTTCATCACCATCCTCAGTGATCCCCTCCAATAACAAATACTGAAACGCTATGGAGTACTTTGCTATTTTTGTGCTCTTAGAGCTGCCATTTCCTGAATAGTTGTTATATTTCAAAAGAAACGATCCGGAACCATCTCCTTTAAACAAAACAAAAACCAAAAAAAAAAAAAAGAGAGAACTTAGTATACACATAAAAAGTAAGAAAAAACAGAAAAAAAAATCGATGGTAAAATTAAGCCATGGCAGATGCTTTTATTAGACGCATCAACATGCTATAAACGCTTCAAAGTAGAAAACACAAACCCTTGACCGTAAAAATGGTCGGAATCCACCTCTTGTAGATAAAAAGCAACCTTGGAGAGTCCCCATGGTGCGTATCAGATAATAAGAGCTTGCAAGACCCTTTTTTACTGTGGATAAATTATAGTATTAATAAGTATTTGCCATTAACCCCAATATGATGAGGCATTTTTGCAGTGAAAGTTTACGTACTTAGCATGGATTGTTGCATTGTGACACAAAGCTAGAGTCCGAACCATTGCCAAATCTCTTCCACGAGTATTACCATATCTCTCTTGACAGCTCCTAATTTTCATATTTGTAATGATTGAAATGAGATTAAAAATGGGTTGCTTGAAAATGAGATAATTAAAATACCTTTCATCGAAGAAATCTCCAAAATCATCAACGATAACTGCAGCTGGAAACGTATCATTAAGGTGAAATGCAGCAAAGTACTTCTTGATTCCATCCTCATCATCAACATATCTTCAAGAAATTAAAACACCAGAATTCAAACATTCAATAGAGAATTAGCTATAATAATTCTTATCCTCACTGTTTAATAATTAAGGGGTTCCAAGGAGATTCCTTACTTCATTTTTATCCCCTGAAAGATATCAGAAGATGGATCAATGCCCTGAAAATTTTGATATCCATGCAAAAAGTAAAACTTATCAGAATTATAAAATGTAAAAGAAGCTTCACAAAGAAAGAGAGCTATATGCCTGGGAAAGGTACGGGGGTTTGGTTTCTAGCCTTCGCCGGTTACATATGAAAACCACTTTACGATTGCTAGAGCTGCACTCTAATGCGGAGTTGATTGCAAACTGGAATAGCAACGATGTCTTCCCACTGCAAATTTTTACAATACCCATGAAATACCAACTCAAAAAAAAAAAAAGAACAAAATCAAGAATTAATTATATGACATGGGTAAACTGTTATGAGTGATGGGTACTTGTTGCGTCTTAAGTGTAGTGAAAAACAAATGAAGTACCACCCTACCATGTGTTCGATGTAATTACTAGCAGACTTGTCAGGGAGGAGCGTTTACCAGGTGGGGGGCCCCGAGAGAAGAGTAATTGAGTCAGGTTCTTGCTGGTGCACTTCCCTTTGCCTCGTCAGGAAGAACCTGTCCACCATGGTCCCGAGGTAACTTTGCCCACGCTGCTGTTTCAAGTTTTAACTTGCATTTTACTGTGTTTTATGATTTGGGCAATACCGATAAATATATTCGGCATCATCACATGATAAATAGGGGCGGATGGTATGCACGGTTAGGGGGGCCAAGGCCGCTTAAGATTTTTGAAAATTCCCTTTCATTCATATATGGATTTCTATATTTGCATTTAATAAATTTAAATTAGAATTTTTTTAATTTAAATTTTTTAATTCAAGGATAAAATTAAATTGATATTTATCTATTTATTTTATTTACTAATCATTATTGACAATCAATTAAAATCTATTGATTTGTAACAAATATTAAATTATAATTCATGTGAATTTTTTTTTTTTAAAATCTAATTTAAGCTTTAAAATTCTAATTTTTACGATAAAATAAATTAAATTTAAAATTTCTATCGAAACATTTTGAGTGTGACATTCACAATTAAGTGAAATATCAAAATTTATCTTTTTTATAACAGTTATGCCTTATTTTGGTAAAAATTAAAAAATAAAAAATATATTATCTCATTAATAGATTGATCAAATTTATTTTAATTATTTTCAGTATCTGCAATATTATAAAAATCATCAAAACAAGACTATGAAATAAGATGGAAGATGAATTTTTTTTTATAAATACTTTGGCTGTCAATAGAAAAAGAAATATTTAGTTTAGATTCAATTATTGAAAATTTTATTTTTTAAAAATGAACTTTGCTCACAATTTTAAATAAAATTATTTATTTGTTATATTTTATTTTCTTATATGTTTATTTTGAATTAATAAAATTAAAAATGTTAGAATTTTGTTATTTTTTAATATATTATTGCGTATAATAATATAACTCAAATAAAAAATATATATAATTTTAAACTTTTAATTGATCTGCCGCTGATGAAAAATGATTAAATATGCCAAAGGTCGTCCTGTTTCTTGCTGGAGGCCCAAGAGCTTGGAGTCAATTTTGGGGCAAAAATGACGATTTCTGATTTCACCATAATGGCTGAATCATGGCAATAGTCTCCAATGTCAAGATCATTAGGCCCAAAGCCAGCATCATCACTTGCTCTTCCAGGAATCCAGGGAAAGTGGGGTTTCCAATTTCCATCGTCTTAAAGTTCCATGGCTACAAAATATGCGTGGATGAGGAATATTTGCATGATGAAATTATTAATATTGTACAAGTTGCAACACCAGATTGGCCCTCAAAACGTAACCACCAAGGCTATGATTACGGTGGATCAGATTAATCTAAAGTAGGCTTCGAAACTGCTTTCATGAGTTCCAAGTCTTTTTTCAGTCTTTCCGCAACAGGCACATGAAGCTGGGATGATGCAGCAGAAAATACATATAGGAATGATGTATGTATGATTCTATACCTACTAGCTTTAGCAGATTTAGGGACCCTTTGTCAAAAGAAAAGAAAAAAGAAAATTTTCGGGGAACCTCAAACATATAAGGTAGGGGAGTATTCAAGTATATACTCTTTTCACTAAAATCATGTATTTGTTCAATTACAACAAAAAGCCTATTTAAAATCTATCATTTATAAGTTTCATACAAAATTTTAATAGATTTTACATAATTTTAAATTATGATTGTTTAATTATAGTATAATGATTTTTAAGTGATATGCTTATATAGAATAATGTTTAAAATCAATTGAACCAGAGGATAATCTACCTCATGCACAAAATTTATGATCAAGACGTACGGGGCATTAACAATTTAACCCCAGCCTTCCCTCTCTCCCTTAATGTAAGGTTTTGTCTCCTTGAATGACAAAAAAACAAAAATTGTAATTATCAAAATTTAAACTTTGATTACTTTAAATACAAAAAAAGAAATCTATTAAACCCATTCATCTTCTAGGCTGTGGATGGCACCTAACTCCAAGCCTCATACGAGCCCACGGATCCCACGGTTTTATAGGCTACAAACTTTGTCTTGTTTTGGTTTTATCTTAAGTTCTTTCGGTAGTATAATAAAGCCAGAGCCATGTAATTAATGAAAATTATTAAAATAAAAAATCAATAAAAAAATAAATTAACATGATAGTATTAAAATTTGGATTAATATGATATATTATTTGAAAGTTTAATATGTAAATTATATATTTTTCCTTCAAATACCAAGTTATATATTTTAAAGTGAAGATGTTAAAAATGTAAATACTCTTTAAAAAAAAAAAAAGCAAACAGTGAACTTATCCATTACACCTTGAAGGAGATATTCACTTGGTTTGGCAGTAGTGAAGGTGAAAATTATAAAGGAGAGACTTGATAGAGTACTGAAAATTTTGGAGTGGCCGAAAACTTACCCTAATATGTAATAGATTAACTTGCCTGAAATTGGCTCTAGTCATTCTCCAATTGTGATAGATACTAAGTTTAGAGATAAGAAAGCACCTAGCCAGGTTTGAAGCAAATTAGATATCGTATGGAGATTGTAAGCATGTGGTCTTAAAGGTGTGGGATATTGACATTAAAGATTAGAAAGCTTTCCAGATGGTTTGGAAACTAAAGAACTTGAAAAGGTTACTGAAATTCTGTAGTAAAAAAAATGGTGCCAAAAATTAAAAAGCTTATTGAGGAATGGATGAGTCAAATGGCTGATATACAATATAAAAAGTAGATTCAAGGATGCTTCGGATAAATCTAAATGTCAAATTTTACACCTTTAAAATTGGATTACATTAAATTTGTTTAACTTAAAGAATAAATAAAAATGACTTTAAAAACTGATTCTAGGGATAAATCTTGTGCTGATTGACATTTTCTTATGCCGATTGATACATATTTGTGATCCACAAGTAAACTTTGGACACAAGAAATGAAGATTGTAATATGGATGGCATAGCTCGTGCAGATTGATAATCCCTTATGCTGATCGGCAAACACATGCTTAATTATGAGATTTTGTGAGATTTCTTTAGTATGGAGACTCTTAAAGGATATAGAAGGGCCAACTTACGACGAAAACCCTTTAAAACCCTAATGTTACACCCTTTGCCCAGAAATGGACACCTTAACTTCGCTCATTCCATAACACATAAATACCTAGAAAACTTCCAACAATTATTTCTCTTGCTAGCCATATTTTGATATTTTTAGGTTTTTCATCAATACCTAGAAAGCTTCCAACAATTTTTGGTTTTCCATCAATACATAGAAAGTTTCCAACAATTATTTCTCTTTCCTAGCCATATTCTGATAGTTTTAGGTTTTCTTCATAATCCTTAGAGGAATTTTGCCTTTTAAAAAACACACTTATTTCTGTAATAGCTAAATCCTTGCCTCCAAAGCCTCTAAACTCCTACACCATCCATGAGAAAACTCAAATTTGAATCTATCAACCAATTCCCGTGGCAATCGACAGTACCTTATGCTGATCAACACCAGCCAGACACATAGAATCAAGTCTTATCCTTTTGATCCTTCCTTAGCTAGATACTAATCCTACCTTCAAGTTTCCAAACATCCAATAGCTAATCTTGCCCATTTGAAAATTATTTTGCATCCCTGGGTAAATCAAAACTCTATAGAAATTTTTATTTCCTTGCTTTTCAAAGATCTATCCCTTAGTTTAATTGGGCAATTTCATCATGCAGAAATGAGCAATGCATCTCTTTCTAATAGAAATCTATATCTCAGTTGTACCTATTGAGCATGTCACATAACTTGTCCATGTTCATTCATCATGTAGATATAATATATGCATTATGAATCACTTAAATTAAAGAAATAAACTAACATGTAGTTTCATTTTTAGGTTTACATCATATAGAATCTTATGCTAGGTTGCTAAGTTTATTATGGATGATTAATCTGATTATTTAAAGCATATCATATAGGAGAATGATTAAGATATTATTTGTGCCAAGCTCAGTTTGGAGGGCAAAGACATGAAAATGACTTGACTTGCAATGTTTGGGGGACATATCAAAATAGTCATACTCATATTAGGTGGGATGTTGTGCTAGTGTTGTTAAAGTTAGTGATAAGCAATTTGCAAGCGCACAGAACCGTAGCAAGTAACATAAGGTAAGTAGAGTATTATTCCCACGAAGATTGAAAATATGAGTGTAACAAGTATCGAAATTGTCTCACTTTATCTTATACTTGAAGAAAATTCAATAAAATATGCAAAAATAGAATATAACTTATGCAAATTAAATTTAAAACATGCAATAACTATAAATTAATATGAAATCAAACTAAACCTAATGCAAACATAAGTGAATATAACTTATAGAACTATGCAGCATCAATTAGCCAATTAAACAAGCAAAACAAATCAAATTAACAAGAACCAAAACCAATATAAACAATTAAACAAAAACAGAATATGATCTAAGCTAAATAAACTCAATAACATGCATAATTATAGGAATTAAACTTACCAACCTAAAACCAAAACCTAATTGATACCATTTAAATTAAATAACAAATGATTAAAACAAATTTAACTTAAACTTAACTTATCCAACCCAAATCAATTTTAAAACTTGCAATTAAACTAATATTAATTTAAATTAATCTAAGAACATGCAAATAAATTTAAATAAATCAAAATAGAGTTGAAATTAAATCAATATGCAAAAACCGATTCTAATGAACCCTAATTTCATGCAAAGCATATAAACCCTAATCAAGTAACTTAAACCGAATATGAACCAATATTAAAGATGCAATAATCAAACTTAAAATTAGCCTAAAAACTAAAATAGAAACTAATTTATATAACAAAATAGGAAAACCGAATGTAACATGCAAAAACTTATGCAAATCAACTAGATTAAAACCCTAAACATGCAAAACATGCAAGCATGCATAAACATAAACTAGATGTAAGCCTAAAATCAATAACCAACAACTTGTATTTGATTGAAACTAGCAATTGAATGATTAAAATAAAAATAGTAGCCAAATTGCACCATTTAAACAAGAATTAAAGTAAAAAACACAAATTATAAATCAAGATCTAAAACCGATTGTAAAATCAATCTTTATCCCAATTTAATCAAATCTAAGCAAAACTGAATTGAAAAAAGGTTTAAAACATAATTTAATTGAATTAAAACTTGAAAAGAATTGAATTAAAACTTGAAAAGAATGTGCATAGACTAAATTTAAACAA